AGATTTCTTGCGATGAAGTAAGTCGGATAGGTCCCATGGCCTGTGATGTACTGTACTGTGATAGAAAGTAATGCGTCATCGTGCGGGAGGTATCAATTATTGGTAACTGAGTGTACGTTCGACGACCTTGCAAGCTGGTGTCCCTTTGATCTTGCCACTTCTTTTCTGTTAAATATTTTAGGCATATTTTTAATGCTAATATTGGCCATGGTGTCTGGACGGGTGTGCCAATTTGTTCAGGGGCAGCTTGTTCGGCCCATTCGTCTGCTCGTTCATTACCCGCGCAGTTAGCACGCCCTCGGGTATACGATGTGCTGGCTGGTACTGGAGGTTATGGCGTCTTGGATTAGTCGAGCTATTGGTGAATTTTTACGAGGATCCTTGATTGCAAATATTGATAACTGGCTATCTGCTATGACGCGCACTGGATCTGCTTGGATTTGATGAAGAATGTGAAGGGTGTGTAGGATGGCCATTAGTTCCGCCTGGAACACGCTGTTCTGTTCCTGTAGATGACCTTGCCATTTTTTGTTCCATTTCTTTTAGGAAATTTACAGTGGATTTTGATGTGTGACTGCTAGCTTTGTCGTGACGGAGTCTCACAGACGGATGGCACTGAGGGTAAAGCAATGGTATTTCATTCAGAAAAATTCGCAATAAAATATGTTCCTGATAGTATTTGGAGTTAATCTTGACATTCTTTTGCACTCTCTTTTTTTTCAACTTGCCATTATAAGAAAAACCAGCAACAATCATGAATCCCTTAGAAAAACTTTCTTTCCATTCTTTGAACCATTTACTTAAATTTGTTTCTTCTCTTTTATGATAATAAATGGCTCTTTTTTTGTTACAATCTTCTAAATACACCCATGCTTCATCTATTGTGACAATTGTTTTCCATTTTCTCTGGATAAGTGTTTCTCATACAGCGTGTCCTGCGTTGAGCGATATGCTGTGTAAGAAGACGATGCCCATTGCGTTTTTTCGCTTTCTTAAAATTTAAATCAACGTTTATTATTTTGTTTACAGTGGACACGGAACATTTTAATGATTTTGCAACTGTCCTTTGGTTAGGGGGATTTTCTTTTATCATTAAACAAGGTACCTTTGCAATAGTCGAAGATGTTCGTTTTTCCTTGGATACGTGTTTGGAATTTTTGTCCCACTGGAGGCTCCAATTCGACGTTTCTTTCCTTTCTTGTTGATGATATTACCTATCGACGCTTTAGATATCACAAAACCGTGACTCTCACATCGTTTTTGGATAACGGAGTATGCATATTTCTCTTCGGAAAGAGCGTCAATGTAGCCTTCGAACCACTGCTTTGTTAAATCGCCTTTGTTAAACAAACTTTCGCCACGAAATTATTTTAAAACTAAAGTGCAATTATCTTTGAGCACGTTTTATACCGCTTCCAAATTCGTCTAAAAATGTGCGAACACCTCTGTATGTAACAATAAGTAACAACAACTAATAGTGACTCAGGTGTACTGCGTGCACCTCGCAAACTACGATCAATGCACCATGCATACTACAGAATCCAACCATGAGTGATACACCCTGTACACTCATCAAACCATACCAACAGTGTACTCAAGAGATCATAAGAACTGTGCACCTAATAAACTATATAAACTCCACATGAACTGTGCAAACGACATTTCCTATAAATATATGTACTGTCTGTATAACTAAGAACTGTTTCCCTTGCAAACTCTATGAACTCTAAACGTAATGACCTCTAGGAACTATATGAACTTAATGAACGTTATACGATTCGAATATCTTTGCAAACCCAATGAACCAAATGAGCTGTGTACCTTAAAAACTCTATGAATCGCCTAAAAACTCATAAAAAATGCATGGTAAATGTCAAATTTTAAAAGTTATATGTCAAATTTATGTATAATCAATGTGTTACCAAATGTCAAGGCGCTGTAAATGGCTTCCCAGTAAAGCAGTTTTAGGGTTGCCGCATTTGGCGAGAAATCGCCCACTTGGCGACAAAATTTGCGATATGACGTTAGACGTTGGAACGAATACTTACCGGTTTAGCCCAGAATGTTCCCGAACACAAGCCGAAAGCTATATAAACCCTGCTGGTCCACAGTCAATTAGTGTATGTCTCTCATCGAGTGTCTTCTAGAGTGTGCCTTGTTTAGCGAGCCGTGCGGAGCCGATCGAGTTGACAACCGGCCAACGAGTGTCGAGTAGGTCGTCGAGTGCACCGAAGGAGTCTCTCAGTGTATCGCTGTTAGTGCATCGTCGAGAGAGCGTGTTGAGCTCCGTGAACGACTGAACCGAAGAGTCGGGAGCTGTGCTCATGTGTCGTCGAGTGCATCGTGAGTTGTAGCGTGGAGAGTCTCGAGAGTACGTGGAGTTCCGAGAACGACGGAGCAGAGTCGGGATCTGTACTCTGGTGCTTTGCAGAAGCTGTCTCCACCGTGATAGCCTGATAACCTGAAGGCTGTGTCGCTGATCCAGTCAGCGTGTTTATAGTAGTTCATCGACGACTGTAAAACGTGTTTTGGAGCTGTCCTGACAATACTGGCTAATAAAGTGTGCTTCGATACTTCATCAACTGTCGTCGTTATTCACTCCAAATCTACAAACCCCGTACGAACGTGAAGGAAGAAAATAACTTAACAACTGGTGTCAGAAGAATATGAAAAACTGTAACAAATGTATTTTTAATGCATGTAATATATAATGAATGTACAGTGTCTCACAAAAGTGATGGGACACTTGTGCTTTACAAAAGGAAACAGTAATAAAATAAATTAAAAAAACATGTACACGTTATTTGTGGGTGTGTTTCATACTTAAATTTAGTAACAATTATTACATAGCGTACATTTTCTAGAAATATTAAAATTTTAATTTAATAAAAATACAATTGTTTAGAACGGTGCAAAAAATGGCTCACATAAGACACCATTAGATACTACTACTTACTACAATAAAAATATTTTTTGTGTTTTTATTTTTACTCAAAAGCAATTGGCAATAATTTATAAAATCGTCTGCAGTATTTCTCTCCAGTTTGTTTTGGAATTTTTGTGTTTTTTAGCTCTGTGCAGCCATGAATGCTAAACGAAAAGAAACTTTGCCTGAAATTCGAAAATAAGTTATTAATTTGCATATTGAACGTGAAAAATCTGTAAGAAAAACTGCTGAAACACTTAATATGAGTCATTCAACAGTTTTCAATATCATTAAACGATATAAAAAGAATCATATGATTCAGGATAAAAGAAGACCTGGCCGACCATCAAAGCTACCTAATGGAATAAAGCTAATTATCGTTCGAAATATAAAAAAAAAAAAAAAAATCCAACAATGAGTGCTCCTAAAGTTTCTGCTGATTTACAAGCATTATATGGAGTAATTGGTAATCCTGAGACTATTAGAAGAGTAATTCGATCTGCTGGATATCACGGTAGAGCAGGCAGGAAAAAATTCTTCGTAAGTGAAAAGAATAGAAACTCAACTGTCTTTCGCAAATCCAACATAAATAAGAATTCTGATTACTGGAATGAAGTTATATTTGCTGATGAGAGTAAATTTAATATATTTGGTTCTGACGGTAGAATCTTGGTGTGGAGAAAACCCAGGGAAGAATTTCGCCAACAGAACTTGGTGCCAACAGCAAAACATGGTGGAGGAGGAGTTATGGTATGGGGTGTATGTCGTCCGCTGGAGTTTTTAATCTTGTTTTTATTGACAGTATAATGGATCAGTACAAGTATATCGACATTTTAAATCAAAATGTGAAATCTTCAGCCCGAAAATTGAACCTTCATAACGATTTTAAATTCTACCAGGACAATCACCCCAAGCACACTGCTTTGAATGTTAGATTCTGGCTGCTGTATAACTGTCCTGAAATAATAAAAATACCACCATAATCTCCAGACATAAATCCCATAGAGAATATTTGGCAAAAATTGGTATCAAGAATTCGTAAACACACCATTTTTTTCTTCAAAACAGCATTAAAATCGGTGCTTCAGAAGAATGGGGTAAAATCACTCCAGAATCACAAAAAAAAAAAAAAAAAAAAAAAAAAAAGAAAGAAATATTCGAATCCATCCGAAGAAGATTAAAATCATGTTTTAAAAGTAAAGGAATCCAACAAAATTAAAAACCTTTAAAAGTAAAATTTTTTGATAAATTTTGATGGAAAAGTAATTGTCCCATCACTTATGTGAGGCATTTTTTGTTCCGTTCTAAACAATTGTATTTTTATTAAATAAATATTTTAATATTTTGAGAAAATGTATGTTATGTAATAATTGTTACTAAATTTTGGGAAGAAATTGTCAAAAATCGCCAAATTAGTCGACCATATGGCGACATTTTCATTCGGTCCCTGTATCACCGTAATGAGTATTGAAATTCAATAAATGCAATTGACCACTGTGTTAGCTGTAAATGTAATTCCACCCTCGTAGTACTTTTCAGTAATTTCTAAAAGCAGAAAGTACTAGAAATATCTCGGCGGCTGGTTGAAAACTATTTAAGGCCGAAGGGAGAGCATACTCAGTTGATAGAGAGCTCAGTTGCTTAGTTATTGTTGTTGCGAATTGTAGGTCCGCTTGAACTGAGATAAATCCAAGTTATCTTTCTCTTTAGATGCGCTTTGCATTTCCTTGTGTTTAACGTTCTTAGCAGTTTGATGCGTAACTACTGATTATACTGCGTGACACTGTGAACACTTGTACGAATATTTCTGTGAAAAATTCCAGAGTTCTGAAATACTTTTTTTTCATAAAAATAATTTTTGTTAATGTTAATGTTTTATCGAACTTGTGCCTTCAATCTACTATTAGCAACCCGTACCCACGCGACATTGTCTAGGAACCATTTGCAATAATAGAGGAAAATAAATTTTTTTTATTGTTTTATGTTTTATTGTTTTATGTTAGTAGTTAAAATAATTGAAATAACTGGAAAATAATTTTTGTGTTTCATCATTTTTTTTACCACTGCTGTTCAGGGCCTACACTTCTGGGTGGACTCAATCCAGAACTCTACCGCATCAGCGTAGAGAAACCGGAAGAGGAAGTGGTCTTCCCCGATGGGCATGTCGGTCGGATCTGGATCGGGATGCAGTACGATTCTGCGGGAGAACGTCTTGTCGTGTCGCTCATCAAAATCAAGAATCTCCCTTCCAGAGTCTACGGCTGTAATAACTGCTGCGACCCATTCGTTCGGTAAGTTTGTAAAATTGCTTTATGAAGTCAATTGAAGTACACTGGCCGAAAAAAAAGTGAGACATTTCTATATCTTCCGTTCTCTCCCGTAAACAGTTTTTAACAGTTAATGTTTAGTTTAAGCCACTTTCCTATCGTTCCTTAATTTCAGCTTACAACTTTCGGCCAAAACGTGTTTTTAAAAGCGTGGCTAATGCAAATGAAGGAAGAAGAAGCATTTAAAGTTGAAGTTCTGTCAGAGATTCTGACCAGTGCGCGTTCGCTTTTAGGCTACTCTCTCTTAAGCTATTATTACGCTCGGCCGTAATTTAGGCCCTTGATAGCTTCGCCGTTAGTTAACGTTTTAAGGGGCCAACTGTAATGGTTAAGTTTAGTTAAATTTTATTTCTTAGTATTCTTGAGTTCAAGCCCGAGTGGAGGTTTTGTTGTAAACTCCAAGGAGGAGTCGACTGTTAAATTTATTTTGAATAATAAAGGGTATTTAACCCTTCTTGAGTCCTTCTTCCTGTCTACTAAACTAAGCGATTATTCGCTTAACAGTTCTTAAAGTCCCTCATTTTTAGCTGTAACTTAAAGACTGGAATCTTCCAAACCTATATTATAGATTTTGATTTATTATAAATGTCGTTTTAATTCTATGAAGAAACTCTGTACATAATTTATGTCCTCTCTTATTTGTTGTTGATAGATTTTTGATTGAATCGCATCCTTTTAGATATTTTCATTTTTTTAGAAATATGGGTTTGGCAACAATTTTTCATCGTATTTCTCATGTCACTATTTTTTAAGGTATTGGCATATTTCATTTTATTATTATTTTTTATTGTCATTTTTTTTTTGGTAGACGGTTGCACGGATTTTGTCGATTTTTCGTTTGGCGAGTAATACGACTTATGGTAAACCCATTGCTGGATAAGTTATTTATGGTAACCGATACTTTGTTGTCATTTTATTAAAAAAATAATGCGCATCGTTTTCAATACTTTCATTCTTTTAGAAATATGGGTTTGGCAACAATTTTTCATCGTATTTCTTTTATCACTGTTTTTAAGAGATTGGCATTATTGAGTTTCCTGTTCTGTTCGAATGATATTGAAAAGTTTTGCATGATTTTTTCCCTTCAACGGAAATTAGGTTCATTTTTATTAGGATAATTAATATTTGTATTAAGGGATATAGCTTATATCATTGTAATTTTTTTCTCTTGAAAATATAAGATAAAATATCACTAATGATGCTTTGCTTTTCAGAATTTTTTCTTTTTTGTCTTTTATGTTATTCCGTGCTCATTTCACTATTTTTAAGATATTGAAAAGTTTTGAGTGATTTTTTAGGAAACAAAGTTCTTAACCTCCTTTATACCATTTGAATTCTTAAGATTTCGCAAAGGGAAGTTGGTTAGTTTATTTATTAGGATAATTAATATTTGTATTAAGGGATATTGCTTATTTCATTGTAATTTTGTTATACGTAATAACTTTTTTTATGAAGTTGTTCTGCAGAGTAAAATTCTGCGCATGTTTTAAATTTAATGTTTGGTGTTCCTTTCAGCCATTTTTCCGGTACATTTAAAAGCCAGACGAAGTCTGGCAACGAAGCTGCTATTTAATAATAATAGTATCAGAATTAATAATAATATTAGTAAAGCGTATTGTATTTATGATAAAATTATATTATTGATTTTGATTTATCATAAATGTCATATTAATTATATGAAGAGATTGGTAATTTGCGGGCAATTTTTGCTTTTCGCATGTAACCTAAAACGCAATATAATGGAGATTATACAATTTTGAAACTGATTGTAGTGTGCATAGTTTTACAGATCAGCTTTCTATTTATAAAATAGTTATGAAACTATTCCTTATGAAGAAGGAAAGGAAACATCTCGCAAATGAATGAATTGTTGCTAGGGGGAGGGAAAAACTGATATCTTTCAGATTTTATATTACGCCCAAACGAGCCTTTTTCTAACTTTTGCGGTTACCTTTATTTTTTTAAATACCGTGTTCATCGCACTTAAGGGGACTCATACACCTTAAAACCCATAAGATCTTCGAATAGGTGACTGTTGCAAGAATTGGGATAACTTATTTATTTTAAAAGCAATTACTTCAAACTTTTTACAGCTGACTACATAATATTAGCTGCTTTCTGAAATAGTCATCAGAAAGTTTGTGTTGCCACAAATATTTTATAATTTAATCCGCTTTGTGACAACATTTTTCGTCATGTTTCCACCTTGCGCGCACAGTTGAAAATATTCTGTCGCTAATTTAATTCCATATTTAATATAGCTTTTATAACATTTGGAAAAACTACTGTGAACCTAACATTCTAAAATTTCATGTTAAAATTTTATTTATTTGGAGTTGAGTTTATAAAATGTATTTTTAAAAAATTTGTATCTTTTCGTCCATAAAATTTTTTAATTTAAAATATTTATCAGATTTTTGGTTCAGTTAGAAGATAGTGCTCATGAAAAGAATTCCATCCAATTTCAAGTACGTACCATGAGCCATTTTTAAAATATCATGCGCGCAAGGTAAAAACATGGCGAAATATTTTGTCACAAAGAGGATTAAATTACAAAAATATTTGTGGCAACACGAACTTTCTGGTTACTATTTTCCAAAGCAGCTATATTATGTAATCCGCTGTAAAAGGTTGGAAGTCATTGCTTTTAAAATAAATAAAATATTCCAATTCTTGCAACAGTCACATATTCGAAGATCATGAGGGGTTTAAGGTGTATGAGCCCCCTTAAACTATGAAATTAAATTCAACAGCAGTACCGCAAAGTAATTTTAAAATGAACATATCTTTAGATCTTTCCGTTTTTTCTCGCGCGCTGCGGATAATTTTTTTTTTTTTTTTTCGATGTTGCCATTGCTCGCTTTAATATCTTTAATCAAAAATTCGTTAAAGTTTTACAAAGTATTAAATCGATAATAAAACAAATTACAAATTCGGCTCCTAAATTTGGAATTCCAAATTAGGGCTTCCAGATGCCCATATTCGGTGGAACATTACGTTATCCGAAATTCGATGGCCCTTAGGTACCGTTGTTTTACCACGGTGGGAGAAATATACATACATTTATGCAGATTCTTCATTATTTAATTTTTTTATAATATATGACGATAATATTTCTTGGCAACAGTTTGAAAAGGGAATCAGCGCAAAATGCCAGAAAGAAATTAATAGTTTTTCTGGGCAAACTGCCCTTTTGGACTAATAAAATCTAAAAGCTTTCAGGACGTTTTTGAACGTTTTGTGATGTACCTTTATTAAAATTCGTCGTCTTCGCACTTAGAATACATAAAATTTAAATCAACAGCAATATCACAAAATATTTTGAATTTGCGATGCACAGTCTCACGCGGTAAAGATAAAAATGTTTTTTTTTTTTTTTTTCCGTACATTGCTCGCTTTGAAATCGTTGAGTTTGTTAAACAAAAATTCGTTCAAGTTTTCCAGAATTTTAAATAGATAAGAAAACAAATTCGAAAATAAAAATTCGGACTTCCAAGTGTGCGTGTTCGGTTGGAGGACTATGTTATTCAAAATTGGGTGGCTTTAGGTATCTACGTTTCTTCACAATGCGAGAAACATTCATGCAGATTCTTCATTACTTAGTTTCTTTAAATGTAATATATGGCGCTATTTGGTGACAACAGTTTGAAAAATGAATCGACGCAAAATGCCGTTTTAAATTAATAGCCCTTTTGAGCTAACGCTCTTTGATTGTGCTAAAAATGCTAGAATAATGGTTTATTCAATTTTCGCGTTCAGTTTTCCGTATATGTAACATTTTACTGAAGTCGTTTCACCATACGGTTAAATGTTCCCAAATTGCCATTTAAAGCCTTTTCTGTGTGCCGCTTTTGTTGAGTAAATGTACCATCAATCACCATCTCCAGAAACTGTAACTTGGGGGTGTTCTCGGGTCTCTAAGAAAAGTTAGTACCTTACCCCGAAGGGGCCGTTAACATCAGCATCACCCACAAAAGACGTTTTTTACTTGTTCCGGCAAGTTTCTTTCACTAAACTCAAGAAGAGCAGTCGATCAACTTTGCTTTTTCTTCGATTGTTTCGCATTCTTTTCCGACATTTTTGCTCGTACTCACTTAACGAAGAGAAAAATATCTGATGTGGACATCACACGACTTCCTTGTACGGTATATTAACCCTTTGCGGCACAGTCTGTCCGGTCTGGACAAACCTAAAAATATCCTTTTGTACGCACAGAAAAATCGAATGAAAAAGAATTTATAGGTTACTGTAGGTTACTCTGAAAATTCTTTATTTATAGTAGATGGCAGCTCAACCAAACCAGTTCATATATTTTAGCCATGTTTAGTTTTTTAAGACACTCATTTTTCAAAGAAATCTTCCAGATTTTTTTAGGGTATAAAAGGAATTGTTTGAAATGAAATTTCTATGTTATTTCTTTGGCTGTATGCTAATCTCCTTATTCTACATTAGTTTTAATTTTTTACCTTGAAATCTTGCCTAAAATCAAACGGCGAACCCTAGGTGTGCACAGACCGGGCTCACTGATCATCTAGGACAGTGCTCCGTAACCGGTGTGCCGCGGCACACTGGTGTGCCATGAGTAGGATATAGGTGTGCCGCAATCAAATACATGTATTTGACATTTTGCAATTTTTTATCATGTATTTAATACACAATGATAATTTTTTTTCCTTAATAATGTCTATTTTAAATGTTTTTTAATATATTCACTGTTGTGGGGTGTGTGTGTGATTGTAAGTGTGTCAGCATTTGAATTTTTTCGGCACTTCCTTGATAACTCGGAACTCAAAAATATATAACTTTTTTTTAAACATAAATTTAAACGAAATATATTGGTTTCAGACCATTTTAATTAAAAATATAGCTCTAAAACTGTTTTTTTTTTTTTAATTTGAAATAAAACCAATCAATTGAAGAATTTTTTTTTTTTTTTTTTTTTAATTTTTTAAAAAAATTTCGCA